GGAGGGGCATTTTCAAAAACCCATAATATGGGCTCTTTAACGTTTGGAGAAACAAGGGAGTAAATAAAACTTTATTTTCCATCGACTAATGTTGTATTTACCCTGTAACACACTGTACAACGTTTTTGCAGGATGGCCAGGATTAATCAATGTTCGATCAGTTGTTGATTACACTTTAAATGGATAAACTGTACGATATTGACATTGTTAATGTGCTTGGTTTTGAGGCACATTGACCAGATCTGTGTTCATTGAGTTTTTAATGTTAAAATCTGTGTTCAGCAGGTCCACGAATCGGGACAGTGAGAGGATATTCAGGAGGACATGTCATTATAAACTACAGCTATGCAATACAACACAAGAACAGTCAGAAACACGTCTGTAAAACTGGAGAAAATCTTTGTTTATCTCTGATAAGCATTAGTGGAGGAGCAGAATGGGAACACAGCGGCCGATTCTCCATTCATGATAACAGATCTGCAGGTCTCTTACGTGTGTTTATCAGAGAGCTGAATGTCCAGGATTCTGGAGAATATAGGATTATAGTCAGAGCTTCTGAAGACTACAGCTTCTTCTCTGAGTTTGATCTGGTCATCACAGACGGTGAGCCGCTTTCAGTCATTCCTGCATTTGTTGATGTGCTAGAAGTGCTGAAGATCTGCTTTAACTGTTGATCTGAATCTCCAGCAGCTGCTTGCTGTCAGAAGAGCATCAGTCTATCAAAAAATGTCACACTTGTCTTTTAGATCACTAGAACCTTATAGGTAGGTGGGTTTGATAAGGGTTGGAGCTAAACTTTGCAGGGCACCGTCAATCCAGTATCAAGGTTGCCTATTCCTGGGCAAGAGACTGCAGTATATTGGCCTATATGTATGAGCTCCAGTCATGTGTGAATATAGTTTAAACTTTCTGTCATCGTTTGGTTTCTCTACAGTGTTCAATTTCAGCGAGTTGTTTCTTCAGTTCAGAAGCTGCAGCAACTCAACATTAATAATCACTGTGAAACCACAGGCTTAAGTTTTGGAAACTCACAGCTTAGTTTTCCGAGCATTAGCAGACATGAATGTGTGAATGATGTCAAAAGCGCTTATTTTTACTATAAGAGGTCTAGTTCTCTGTGTAAGATTATTCTTGTGCTATTTTATATACAGATGCTTCAGAAACTACTTCTTCATCATCACCACCACCACCACCACCATCATCATCATCATCATCATCATTGGTGGAATCTCCACTGCAGAGAATGTGTGCTAGACACTGATGCATATTAAAGGAGTTTGAGATGTCCATGTGTTTAGAGCCCTAAACAGACACTGACCCTTATGTGAATGGAGCATTTAAAGTATATTAAACAGACGATGGCTGGAATATCAGAGGAAAAGTTTTCTGCTGATCAGTGTTATGGTCATCAGCTGGAATACCAACCTTACACAGCTAAATGTACACTCCACCAGCCATTCACATGGACTACACATCCCATCATGCTTTGCGCTGACTCAGACTCTGACTACCTGCTACAGCTGATATCAATCTGGACACCAACACATGCACAGTTGCAGTTGCATTTACACTGATATCACTCACTATATAACAACCATACGCCATTCACATACTGTACACACCATTGCTCAGTCTTCTTCTACAGTTTAGTGTGTTATTACTAGTATCCTCCCTGTTTCTGGAGTTCTGTGTATTTATCTTGGACTATTTTTGTGTTTTATTGGTGGTGGGCAGAGCAAGGCTTTAATTTCCATTCTTTTACGCTACAACGTAATAACATAATGACAATCCTCCCATGTTGGGACTCAAGATATCAAAAATAAATAGTCAGAAATCATAATTTCAGTCAAATGAAACATCACCATGATCTGAAAAAATTCTAACAATAAGTTTTGCGAACCAAATGAAGTTTAATTCACTTACTATTTAAATTCCGTGACCATTGTTCGTTCCGAAATAAACTTGTGTTTCACCAGATCTTCTCATTTAAGCCCTCAGTTTAGCCACGCTGCAGCTGAAACACTGAAATAGTCAAAGGAAATGTGTCGAGGCTTTGAAACATTTCATAACGCATTTCTACAGTCACGCTTAGTGGTCAATTTAGGGTGAAACAACTTCAACAAAGTAACAGTTAAACAAATCGAGCAATTAAAATCCAAGTTGTATAATGCAGATATCAAGTGATTTAGTGAAGCGGTTAGTGTTGCTCACTGGCATGCAGACACCGTATGTCGGGTTTGAATTCAGGGGGAAACAACTACAGTCATTTAAAGTCTGGGTTTCTATTGCTCTGCTCTTATAATGTGTTTAGTTTTAACATTAGTCCTAAAATGAACATTATTAAAAGACATGGGCCCAGTTTCACAAACAGGGCTTAGATTAAGCCAGGACTAGGCCTTAGTTAAATTAGGCTATATAAGCCACATTTATAAAAATGGCCTCAGAAAAATATACTACTGGTGTGCACCTGGTGATAAAATACGACACTGACATATTTTAAGACATCTCACCGCAAGTTATTTTGAGTTCATACAGCTCAAACATGCAATTTAATCTTGACTAGCCTTAAACCTTGTTTGTGAAACCGGGGGATGAAGTCACAATTTTTGAATTGATGTGCAATCTGGGGTTTGAACTCCGCAGCACAGTTGCACGATATACTGCCACACAATCCACTATGCTATGTGTAAGTTAGTTTAGTAACTGTATTTTGATGGTCCATTTGAGTATTAGTAGACTGTCTGCTTAATATCTGCTGATTCTGCTCCTTCAACAGACATTTAACTGACTATAAGAAACTTTACAAGAACATGTCAACTAACGCTAACCCCAACCCTAACAGTCTACTTTTAATGTAATGAGAATTAGTTGGCATGTAGACGCAATGTAACTTATATTTAACAAGCGGATCATCAAAGCAAAGTGTGACCTTTATTTGTTTATGTTTGACCCTGTCAATCAAACGCAGATGCTTTATATCACTTTAGTCACGTGACCTGGATGTTTTAAAACTCTTCAGAGCAGCATATTAAAACATCTACACTTGGGGATCTTAACATCATGTTGAAACATCAGTTAGCCTATAAATTTTATTGAGTGTTTTTTGCCTGCCCTGACCGTCGCCTGCTTATTGGATTAGCTCTTTTATTGCTGTTTGCTCCTGTTTAACCTTGCTTGTATGTCTTGGAGGGCCGGTGTCCTGCAGTTAATTGTTCTAACACTAATCAAACACACCTGAACATGCGATTTAGTTGCTTCAAGCTCACTAGAAATCTATTGGCAGGTGTTTGATTGGGGTTGGAGCAACACTCTGCAGGAGACCGGACCTCCAGGACCAAGATTGCCCTGCCTAATACTCCATTGATCATTCAATCATCATAAAGATGCGGTCACACTATAGTTTGAGCATGCAAACTTCTGTTGTATGGTGCTGCAAAAGTGGGCGGGATTAAACAATATGATTAGACATTTTAAAAAACAAGCAATTGTTTTACATCTGTCTAGAGAGGTCATATTTTGATCTATGATTGGTCTCATGCAGTCACATGATGCAATTTCGCAGGTCAGAGTTCACCAAGCTTGACCTTTCCAATGCAGCGAACTGCAAAACTTGCTGCACGAGCTCGCGTTTCCGATCTGACGCATTCGCGTGCGTATGAATAAAAGCCTGTGGTGAGGAAAGTCCAGTGTGACCGCAGCATGTTGTTCTGACTGATGCCTGTTGTTGTTGTTTTGCTTTCCATGACTTGTCAGTTTTGCATTTAAGACTTTTCTGTACAGGTCCTTTGAAACTTGGTTGTGAAATTTAAATGTGAAAAAGCAAATTATGAATAAAAACCTCTTAAAAACTCTCTAGCGTTCAGGTTTAATCAAAGGTAAACCATGTATTTAATTTAAGCAGTAAAGTTTTATCGAATGTATCCTTAGCAACATCATTACAACTGGAGCTGCGTCCCAAATGGCACACTATGCACTTATGCACTATTCACGTACACACTCAGCAGCATAGTATATGTATGTAGTGGCGTCCCAAATGAAACACTATCTTACTAAGCGGAAGTTTCCCTGATGATGTGTGATGGTTGCTAAATTAATGAAATAAATGACCAAACTATCAAATAATACCTGCCATGAGTATAATCACATTCACCATCAGGAGGCGCTATAATCACTCTCGTAGGAGAATTTTGCTTCTGTCAAAATAAATAAAGTAATTCAACACGAGCGCCTGATAGCTCCGCCCCTTCCGCTATGTGTGCAAAGCAGTGGCTGTTGAGTGCATGAAGTGTCCATCGTCCATTTCACCGGCTGAATGAGTGCAGCATCCGGGTAATTAAAGTGCACTTATTATTTTTAGAGTTTTCAGTTTGTGGTACACTATTTATACTACAAAATGGCGTGGAATAGTGCATAAGTGTGCGATTTGGGACGCACCTACAGTCACAAAACATGCTTTCAACAATGCTGTTGTTTCCTATTGCCCAGTCAGTCCTGTCCCAAACTGCTCCAAAAAGTGTTGTGAAAACTTTAGATTAATCTATAATCCATGTATTATCTCAAAGGTTTAATAAATATTTATTTATTTGCTCATTTTTTTACTGCTAAAATAGACGATAGTAGACATTCAATTTCAGAGATAATTTTAGTCAAAGTTAAAGGAGGTCATTAATAACATGGCAGAAAAATTCATCTTAATGTATTGTGTGAGTGCTTCTATGGCGGGGGTGGGGGGGATTCATGGCTATTTAACTCTGACCTCCTAAACTCTTTCACACCTACGTCAGATCTGTCTGGGTCTGTTTAGAGAGCCTGTCTAAAAAAATACTTGCACTTCCTCTTTTTCAGTCTCTCTCTCTCTCTTAGAGGAAATGAGCATCTCTCTCTCATTTTCATCTCTTCATATTCAACCAGGAAGGAAAGAGTCAAAGCTGATCTGAACAGGAGAGTTTGAGGAGAGCCGAATCTACTAATGACAGAAGATCAGTGAATAAGAGAGAAGAATGAAGATCATCTGGACTTTCACTCTGCTCATGATTCCTGGTAAGAGTCTGAACACATCCTGATCCAACAATCACATCACTGATAAACCAAACATGGGTTAAATATTATGACCAGACTTATTTATCATCAACTGATATGGTGAAACGACCTTGAAAAACACATTGAAATGATTATATTAGTGTTGTTATAGATGTTGGTTTGTTGTAGGTGTGGTGAGCTCCATGAGTGTCATCGGATATTCAGGAGGCGGAGTCATGATCACATGCAAATATGACAGAGGATTTGAGACATATCCAAAGTATTTTTGTAAAGAACAGTGGATATCACCATGCTCTGAGCTCATCAGGACTGAGATTAATAGTGAAGAGAAATGGGTTCAGTCTAGAAGATTCTCTCTGATTGATAACACAACAGCAGCATTTTTAACTGTGACCATCAGAGATCTGACAGAACAGGATTCTGGGACTTATTACTGTGGGGTTGAAACATATGGACCTGATCTCGGCACTAAAGTGAATCTAGAGGTCATAACAGGTGAGCAACTGAGAGCCTCAAACTCATGAAGATCCACAACATCACCAAACTCAACACTGACTGACATTACTGTACACATATTTAATCATAAAACTTTAGATCCCGTCCCACAATTTGGATTATTAGTAAAGCAAACTTATTGCATACAGTTTTATAATAATAGTGTATCTATACTGTATTCATGTGTACATTAGGGGGAGCAAGATTAAAAGTTTGGATAAACAAGGGGGTAAATAAAACTTTATTTTCCATCCACTAATGTTGTATTTACCCTGTAACACAGTGTACAACGTTTTTGCAGGATGGCCAGGATTAATCAATGTTCGATCAGTTGTTGATTACACTTTAAATTGATAAACTGTACAATATTGCCATTGTTAATGTGCTTGGTTTTAAGGCACATTGACCAGATCTGTGTTCATTGAGTTTTAAATGTCAAAATCTGTGTTCAGCAGGTCCACGAATCGGGACAGTGAGAGGATATTCAGGAGGACATGTCATTATAAACTCCAGCTATGAGATACAACACAAGAACAGTCAGAAACACGTCTGTAAAACTGGAGAAAATCATTGTTTATCTCTGATCAACATTAATGCAGCAGCAGAATGGAAAGACAGCGGTCGATTCTCCATTCATGATGACAGATCTGCAGATCTCTTGCGTGTGTTTATCAGAGAGCTGAATGTCCAGGATTCTGGAGAATATAGGATTATAGTCAGAGAATCTGAAGACTACAGCTTCTTCTCTGAGTTTGAGCTGGTCGTCACAGACGGTGAGCCGCTTTCAGTCATTCCTGCATTTGTTGATGTGCTAGATGTGCTGAAGATCTGGTTGTGATGTGTACAAATATGGATGTTGGTTCTTAAAGGAAAACCTCATAATAATGTGATTGCGTTTAGTTTTGTGTTCTTGTGGCTCAGTTGTAACTCTTTCATGAGCTGATACTGGGCCGCAACTCTCTGCATTATATGCAGTCAAATACTTTGATCATATCTGATATCTGTGTTTGTTTTACAGTAGTGTGTTGCTTAACTGTGGAATGTTTATACACTGTAAAAGTTAAAGGTTCCTGGAGGCACCTTTTGGGGTTTTTCAGCTTGCCACACTGGCCCTCTTTAGGGCCTCTAGGGACACTATCAAAAGGGGTGGTTCCCTAAGGAACTTCAAGGGTTCCTGGAAAAAACCCTCTTATTAAAAATGACCAGGAACCATTTTATAAGTTTACAGATTTTACAGTAACTTTTTTGGGAATTTGAGTTCCTCTAACTCAACGATCGCCTCACAGCAAGAAGTTTGCTAGTTCGAGTCCCGGATGGGTCAGTTGGCATTTCTGTGTGGAGTTTGCATATTCTCCCCGTGTTTCGTGGGTTTCCTCCAGGTGCTCCATTTTCCCCCACAGTCTAAAGACATGCGCTATACAGTGTGAAATGAATAAGCTAAATTAGCTATAGTGTATGTGTGGGAATGCAAGAGTGTATGGGTTATCCCATGATTGGGTTATGGCTGTAGGGGCATCCGCTGCGTAAAAGATGTGCTGGATAAGTTTAGCTGTGGCAACCTCTGATTATTAAAGAGACTAAGCTGAAAAAGAAAATGATTTTCAAAGTGCTCCGAGGTCTCAATGTAAAGTAACAGCGACTCCAGAACCTCAGTATTAGAAAGACGTGCTTGAAGGGTCCCAATTACACCAAAAGGATCCGGCAAGTACTACAAAGACTGACAGTGGTTTCGCCAGGAATCTCTTTATGAGAGAAAGAGTTTTAAAGCACTTAAAATATATTTTGAAGTTCCTTGGGTACTCAACAGCAGGCACGTGCACACATAGGGCTCAACCTGTGTAGTGCACATGTCCTTTTTAGTCATGGATAGAAAGTGCCCTTCCAAAATTATCAAAAGTGCCCCCATGACGCAACACACCCTCCGTCCCGCCCTTCAGTAGGCTTGCGACAACACCGCTCTTGAGTAGGCGCGCTCAAACCCTACACCCCCTACCCCCCGCTTTACACGCGCGACAACACAGCTGATCAGAACGCGCATGACAGCACCGGTCGTCAGTACGCGCGCGACAACAACAACAAGAACTGGCCCCATCCTCTACCCCCTAAACCCCCCCCCCCCGCTCTTCGAATAATTGATCATGCACGTGCCCTTGGGATGGTCTCTGCACGGGCCTGCTCAACAGAGTATTTGAAGCACCTTTACCTTTTACCTTGTATAGATTAATATGCAGGGTTATTTCTAGCACGCCAGTGTGTTTGACAAAGCAAAAAATATAAAAAAAACAAGGCAGTGTCCCCACAACTGCCTTTAAACTTGCATATCCTCTTTTGTTTAACTTGTTTGTACAGATGAATGTTTTAATTCTCTTAATAAAGGATTTGTTTTTTTTATGCAAATTAGTATGTGGTCTCTTTGTCCTGGAGGGCCGGTGTCCCGCATAGTTAAGCTCCAACTTTCTTCAACACACCTACCTGTATGTTTCTAGTACACCTAGAAACAGCCTGACTAGTTGGTCCAGGTGTGTTTTATGGGGGTTGGAGCTAAAAAAAATCCAGGACACCAGCCCTACAGGACCGAGTTTGGATACCCCTAAACTAGATCAACAGCGTATAAAGGATATGGATGTAGTTTTGTTGGTCTACAGCAGTGTTTGAATGCAGACACTGAATGTCTGCGCATATTCTGAGAGTGTGTGGGATCATTTGTAATTTCTGTAGTGTTTAGTGTTGCATCATTTGTGTGTTCATGTGCACGCAGTGTTTCTTAAAAAAATTCACCCCAAAAATATTCTTTATTGAATACTTTTCAATTGTCCAAACCTATTTGTGTTTCGTTTTCAGTTGAACAAAAAATAAATAAATGATATATACAGTTAAAGTCAGAGTTAATAGCCCCCTTTGTAGTTTTTTTTTTTTCTTTTTTAAATATTTCTCAAATGATGTTTAACAGAGCAAGGGAATTTACACAGTATGTCTGATAATATTATTTATTCTGGAGAAAGTCTTATTTGTTTTATTTCGGCTAGAATAAGAGCAGTTTTTAATTGTTTAAAACAAAAAAAAATAACATTTTAAGGTAAATATTATTAGCCCCCTTAAGCTATATTTGTTTTTGATAGTCTTCAGAACAAACCATCGTTATACAATAACTTGCCTAATTACCCTAATCTGCCTAGTTAACCTAATTAACCTAGTTAAGCCTTTAAATGTCACTTTAAGCTGTATAGAAGTGTCTTGAAGAATATCTAGTCTAATATTATTTACTGTCATCATGACAAAGATCAAATAAATCAGTTATTAGAGATGAGTTATTAAAACTATTATGATTAGAAATGTGATGGAGAAATCTGCTCTCTGTTGTTGGAATATCAAGCCAACTCCATGCGTGTTCAATAAGAAAAGGTCTGAAGAGGGTTTTCTTCAATGCCAAAAATATTAGTAATTTATTAGATACAACTGAATAATTTGATGACAGAGCTCTGGGTTACGTTACCCCAATGCTATACAAGAATTACATTCAAGAAGTTCACAACTAACATACATTTCCTGACTCCAGCATATATACACAACTGATATTAACAGGTGGAGTTTTGGTTTAACGTCACTTATCAGTCGTTCTGCAGTCCCTTGGCTCTTTGTAACCCCTAGACATACTTCCTCTTTCTGCAACGCTTCTCTGCATACCAGAACTGAACAATTACTTGCATCTTTAATATATTTCACAACTTCTACAAAGATCATGCTCCGTGTGACATGTCCAGACAGCAGTCTGGAACAAACCTAAATTCATTCTTATTCTGCTTTTTCACTTGTCAGCAGTTCTTCTAAAAAGTATGCAGCACAGTAAAAAAGAGGAAGTGTGTCTGGTCAATATGTAATGTAATACAAAAGAGAAAGGTTGATTAATCTGTTGTTAGTCCAAACATTTTCTAATAAAAGATAAAGACACAAAAGTAATAAAAATAAATTCTTTTTTCCCCACAATTTCCCCCTTTTCTGCTCCTCTCGAGAGCAGACAACAACAAAAACAGATAATCAAATCCCCACACCGTAAAACACAAATTGGGGGAAAAGTAAACAGGGGGAAAATAATTTAGGGGGGCTAATAAATCTGACTAAAAGACTTCAACTGTATATATATATATATATATATATATATATATATATATATATATATATATATATATATATATATATATATATATATATATATATACATATGAAGACTTGCTTGTTGATGATAATAGACCATTTTTGCCGTTTTGGTACTCTGAACACACTCTCGCTGATTTACACAGCCTGTAAGTTAGAGTTTCTCTCACAAAATCAATGATGAGCAGAACCAGACTAGACTAATTCAGCATGCATTGTTTTAGCAGGGTATGATTCGCAGTTTGAATACGTAATATTTAGCATCATATTAGGTACGTTAAGGTAAATGCTCCTGTGTGTGTTTGTGTGGCGAAAAAACAAAATATTTTTTAGTAAAACTACTGTTTTTTTGTGTATTTGTTTTAGATGTTCCAAACATTACATCATCATCATCATCATTACCATCATCATCATACATTTCAACATTACAAACTCCACTGAGCACAACTGTTTCAGAAAATTCTACCCTCACATCACAGTTCAACACCATAACAGGTACTCATGTGCTGAATAAATCATGCATCTGATATTTGGCTCAAAGTGGTTCTGATTCTTAAATCTCCTGTTTCCAGAATCTTCTCTGATCATCCCTCTGGTTCTGGTTCTTCTGCTTCTGATCATCGCTGCTCTCTTATTACTGTTTCTCTATAAGAAGCACCAAACTAAAGGTAAACCTCCTGCTTCTCTCCTACAGATGCAGAAACTCTCTGTTCACAGAGTTTACAACTCAGATTAGATTATATCGCCATCTAAAGGCTGCGACAAGACATGAGGAACATGCAGATACTTCATTACACACAACAGATCAGTGTTGAAATGAGATATACTGTCATTAAAGACTTGTTTTCAGCAGGTGGTGACTCCACATCTCAGACTGCACATGGAAATACTGAAGCGGTGAGTTACTGTCACTGCAGGAAACCTTTATTTCTGATCATAATGAGAATTAAGTGTATTACTTTCCATCCTGAAGATCATCACAGCTCTAAATCATGTCTCTGTTCCTCCTCAGGTTTCTAATATTGGTTGTGATTATGAGGAGATTAAAGACACTCACAAGCAATTACCCAGAAGCCCCTCTGAGTCTTCTAGCGCTGTTTACGCCACTGCTCAATTACCCACAAACCCCTCTGATTCCTGTATTTACTCAACAGTTCAGGAAGCCTCTGGTGACTCTCAGATCTGCATCTCATCTGCTGAAGATATGAATTACTCTGTGGTGAATTTCCACAAGACACCAGACTGTCCTGACAGTGTCAGTTTGAGGAATCATCAGGAGTGTTGTGAATATTACAGTGAATGTGCTGCTGTCAATCCTCATCTCACTGCTTGAAGAGACTCAGCAGAGAGTGTGAATTAATTTTAACCCACAGTGTGATGCTTCAGTGATGCTCCATTGCTGTATATTTCAACTTTCAGACTGTTTGAATTTAGTCATGGAAGTTTCTGTTAGTTTGATTTGAGGAGATGGAATGGAGAATCTGAATTATCATTTTTTTTTGTGTGTGTGTGTGTGTGTGTGTGTGTGTGTGTGTGTGTGTGTGTGTGTGTGTGTGTGTGTGTGTGATGCATCAGTGATGCTTATTAACAGTTTATTTTAAACTAACTTTATTAATATTTATCATTATAGCATTTACTAACTTATCAATGTAATATTTTGTAATGTCCACCAGAGGGTGATGTTTGTGTGAGAGAGAGTCTTGAGTAAAAGAGCACATGAGCATCTGTGTTTGGAAAACGCGTCCCCAGAGCCTGTCTGCTTTCAGTTTGAATCTGTGATTCTTGATGAAGAGTTTTACTTCATCATTTATTGGATTTCAGTACATTGATAAAAGACTATCTTCTCGCTATGGATGAGAAATGCCACAGGTCTGCATCAAACATGAGTGGAGTTCCCAGATTGCAGTGGGATCCTGTGCTTCAGGATAAACGCACACAAGATAAACAAGTACTGTGCTCTTTATTCTTCTTTTAAGTGCTGGCTACTTGTGCTTAAGCTTCTAATGAGTGTGACTGTTTTCAGCAATAGAGAACATGGAATTGAGGCCCGAGAAATGAGTTTTTAATTGATAAGTGAAGAGGTTTGAATCTGGAGCTATGATGCATTGATCTTTTGTTGTACTGTTTGAATTTAATCCTTTGAACTGTCTTGGTCTTGGAACTTCAATTAATTTTTGGAACTTTTGGGCTGTTTTAATACAATCATTGGTTACAAATGAGTCTTGGGAAGTTTGCACTGTTTGAATTTAAGTAATGATTGCTTGATTGTTTAAAACAAGTACATTTTATTGAACTTATTTTTATGTAACCATACATTAGGCTGGTTGTAATTCTTGTAAAACTTTTACTTAAAGGATGGTTTTCCAAAATCGAAATGATTGCTGTTAATTTGCCCGTCTTCTGCTCATCAATGCTGTACGTGACTTTGCATTTAAACAAGACCTTATGGCTCGATTCCACTGACTGGTACAGTACGGTACGGTTCGGGTCGGTACAGGTCACCTTTATCAGGCTTACGTTTCCACCACCAAGGGTACCCTTTTGGTGGGCATGGTGTATGACAAAGTTTCAGCCGACGTCATTTTCGCTCGAAAATGTCTACAATAAAGCTGCACAGGTCGTTCACATATCAAATGAAAAGCACTTCTCACAAAACAGATGCTTTATACACATACTTGTGTATAAATGTTCATTACCAGCTTTTCTATAAACAGGAGTTGATTATAACTGCAGATCAATGACGGTGCAAAATAGCCTACTGTAACGTCTGTAATTATATTAGATAAATAAATGAACATATATGAACACATACAGACCCTTATAGTCTCCGATATGTTACCAACTACAGAAGAACTACACAAAGCAGACATTTCGTCGTTAATTAAGTTAAAAAAAACACAAAGTATAGCCTACAGTCAGTGAAAACCTCTCATCTGTGTCTGTAATCTTCAGCAGCACATGAAGCCTCTGTTAGACAGTCACTCCATCATTCCCAGTTCATATTAGTCCAAAAGGTGTTAATAAAGATTAAAACAAGGCTTCGCCTTTATTTCCGCGCTCCACTCTCGCGTTTGTCCTTTTCTTTCTGAATGTGTCACTCTCGTTTGTCAGCTTCTCACAGGATCAGGTTTCCAAAAGTTTGTCAATAATCAAGTGCATGTTATTATTATCAGATCAAGAAGTTTGTTATTTCAGATAGAGATGCGCGGCGAAAGCAAGAAAGAAAGCGAAACCACTCGGGGTTCAGACTGGCTTGTAAAAAACTAAGCCGCACAGGGTAAATCCGCTCTTCTCCGTGGCTTTGTGGCTGTTTATCATGACGACGACAGGGTTTGTTTGCAGGATCGACCATGGCTGCAAATGTATTTATAATTCCGCTGTAATCTCTCGCTGTGTATTTCAAACATGGCGGGTCCTTTGTTTACATTCTGGCTTGTTGCGTCTACGAATGACGTATCTCTGTAAACCAATAGCGTTCAGCTGCGCGTGTAGCTCTACCTGTTGGGACCCTTTCTGCAGTTTGGGACCCTTTTGAAAGGGTCCCGAAAAAGTGGTATGGTACGGTTTGGTTCGGTACGCCTTTTGACAGTGGAAACGGCCATAAAAGCGTACCAAACCGTACCGTACCGTACCACTCAGTGGAAACAGGCCATTAGTTACAGTGAGCACTGAAGATTGCACTGTGCTGAAATGTCAGCTGGATCTCATTTGATTTAACTCATTTGTATTTTTCAGCTTGTAAAGTAAGTTTGTGAATGCTTTCTTGGTCTATATTGGATTCAGTTTGCGGCTAGCCATTCTTTTTTTATACAATTTATAATTTATGTGTGCGTGGAGCTCTTTTAATGATTTATCATGCAGCTGAATTACACTGATGCATGCTAAACAAATAGTGAGAGAAAACACCACATCCCGAATAACCTCCCACAACTTCTTCCGTCCTCATATTTTACAGGAAAGCCTAAATGCTTTCATGCATGTGATTTGAATAAGGCGATCTTTCTGCAATCGTTAAAAATGTAGGATTAATCTACAAGTAAAAAAAAAAAAATGTATAAATCCGAGGGTCACGTGTTTTGAACAGTGGCTTGTGATCTGTACATAACGAATCGACCATGATCTATTACACCCATGATCCATTAGCCCTGGCACAAAGTATATAGGTGTTCAGTGAAGTGTAGTAAGTGTATGTGTTGTTCTTGGGTGGTTAGCATCATCTCTTCACATCAAGAATGAATTGGATTGAATTGAATTGGATCAGGAATGAAGCAGAACTCTGCGGGAAGGTAGATCTCCAGGAACAGGTAGATCTCCCTCCTTTAAACAAGAAGCACCCCTGGTTTAAAAGTATCCAGATCATTTTTTGATCAGTTTTTTCCCCAAGTACAGTCCAGCTGCTCCAGCTATGAACAGTCCCCCTCCGGCCAACATTATCGCCGGGGCTAGCACTAGCTCTGTCACACCCAGCACCACACCTCCGGTCACCATCGCCGCTGCTCCCACCGGCCCCACTCCCAATGCTACTTTATGCAGAGTTTCCTTGACTTTCTCCAAATACACATCTCTCTCTATTATTTTCTGAAACCTCTCATTCGTGTAGTACTGCCATCTGTTTCCCTCTGCCGTTTTCTCGATCTTCTCCAGTAGTGCGCTTACCTGAGTGCAGTTGTCAGAGTCTTGATTGTTAAACAAGTGATATCTGCTACTAAAACTCTCTGCAAACGCATGAAAATCAGGACTGTCTTCATTGTTTTTGTTGATCAATTTCTCCAAATCCCCATGAGTGAACAGTACGATGGAGTAATGTGCAGCATCTTCTCCGATGTTCTCCTGAAGCCAGTTCATGATGTTTTTCTCTTCCTCTATGAATCTTGAATTGACTTTGATGACCAGCAGGAACACGTGAGGACCTGGAGCTGACATGACGACCAACTTCTGGATTTCTTTTTTCGTCGTCTTCTGAGACGCATCAGTCAGTCCCGGAGTGTCGATTATGGTGATGCTCTTTCCACACACGTGCGCTTCATGGAGCTCACTGGTTTCTGTGTTTGGGGGATTTTTCCACTCAAAACACTCCTTGTTTACGATGGTTTCCAGAACACTGGTCTTTCCTGATCCAGTTTTACCCAGCAGTACGATCCTTGGCTTTCCAGACCCTACAATTAAAATGTAAAAACAAATCAAAGATGGTTTTAATTCAGATGTTAAAGTACAATGCCTGACAGAAATCTTGTCGTGAATCCCAGTTGTAAGAGCAACCAATATTAACTTGACTTCTAGTTGATCATTTAAAGTATCAGAAGGTTTTCTGGTGAATCATCTGTTGGTCTGCATCTCAAACAATCACAAATACTGTAGAAGACCTCCTGGAACCCACGTGGAGCCAAGATTCTCACATAAATCAGTCAAGTTTGGTGAAGGAGAATGTTTTGAGAGTAGTATGTCTCAAAGCTTGCAAACTCTTCTCAAAAGAATGTCTTTTTTCTAGACAAAACACTACATATTTTTAGAACGTATATAGGTAGGCAAATTGGGAGAGACACTGCTCACTGCAGAGCCAATCGAGCAGAGCAAAGCTCCAGCGAGGGAGAGCTTGAGCTCTTGCTCCTCCTCCTAGAAGGTGTTTTAATGTGTACACCCACCCCTTACCCCCAACCCTCAGTGACATCACTCGAAGAAGAAGTGCAAGAAAGCAGGAGCAAGAGTTCAAGCTCCCCCTCGCTGGAGCTCAGCTCTGCCCAAATGGCTCTGCAGTGAGCACCACTTGAATCGGGATGCAACAAAACTCACTTACAAAACTGTCCTCTGTTGAGTATTTTTCTCTGCGCTTCCTGAAACATCTCATCTGTATAGTATTGACCTCCATTTTCCTCCACCAACTTCTCAATCTTCTCCATCAGTTTGTTGACCTGTGTTCGATCACTGGTATCTTCATTATGGAATGCGTGAACTCTGCCTCCACACTCGTCAACTAGAGCCTGGAGTTCATCACTTTCCCTAATATAAGCAGCTAATGTTTTCCTCTTGAGCTGATCGGCATGAGTGAACAGAACGATAGTGTGACGAGGAGCTTTTTCTCCAAAGTTCTCCTGAATCCACTTCACCGCGCTCTTCTCTTCATCTGTGAATCTCACGCCCAGTCTGGCCACCAGCAGAAACACATGTGGACCCGGGAGACACTTATAGACGCACTTCACGATTTCGTCCTTCATCTTCTGTTTGCTCATCGTCGTATCGAACAGACCCGGAGTGTCGACGACTGAGATGATCCGCTCCCCAATCTTCAGCTTTCCACTCTCGCAGGTTTTAGTCACTGAAACTGCTGAAAAGTCTGCCTTAAAATATTTGTTATCCAGTATAGTGTTTCCTGTTGAGCTCTTTCCAGATCCTGTTTTACCCAGAAGAATGATTCGCAGATCAGGTGAAGTTGATCCTGTGAGATTAATTGAACAGAGAATGTAAATGAAGTTATCTTAAAGGGGAAAATCTACTTGTTTAGGAAAAAGGCTCATTTTAATACTCTCCCAGAGTTATTTCCATACATACATACATGAGCAATCTTATAAAAAGCATTTTTTTATTTGCCTATAAAGATGTCACAGTATGTCCTCTAACATTTTTTTTCTTCTGAAGAAAGTCTTTGTTTTATTTTGGCTAGAATAAAAGCAGTTTAATTTTTTTGAAAGCCATTTAGTATCCATATTGTTAGCCCCCTAAAGCAATATTAGTTTTGGATTGTCACCAGAACAAACCAGTTAAACAATCATTTGCCTAATTACCCTGTTTTAGGTTTTAAATGTCACTTTAAGCTGTATAGAAGTGTCTTGAAGAATATCTAGTCTAATATTATTTACTGTCGTCATGGCAAAGATAAAATGAATCTGTTATTAGAGATGAGTTATTAAAACTATTATGATTAGAAATGTGGGCGAGGCAGGGGCGCAGTAGTTAGTGCTGTCGCCTCATAGCAAGAAGGATGCTGGGTTGCTGGTTCGAACCTCGGGTCAGTCGGCGTTTCTGTGTGGAGTTTGCATGTTCTCCCTGCCTTTGCGTGGGTTTGCTCCGGGTGCTCCGGTTTCCCCCACAGTCCAAACACATGCGGTGCAGGTGAATTGGGTAGGCTAAATTGTCCGTAGTATATGAGTGTGTGTGAATGTGTGTTTGGGTGTTTCCCAGAGATGGGTTGCGACTGGAAGGGCATCCGCTGCGTAAAAACTAGCTGGATAAGTTGGCGGTTCATTCTGCTGTGGCGACCCCAGATTAATAAATGGACTAAGCTGACAAAAAATTGTATGAATGATTAGAAATGTGTTGAAAAAAATCTTTCTGTTAAACAGAAATTGGGGGAAATATACATATATATAAATTTATATATAAATATTATTTGTGCTTCTAGGGGAGCTAACAATTATGACTTCAACTGTAAATAACTGTCCATGTAAAAATGCAAAACACATTGTAATGCACTGTCAATGGATTGCCGAACCAACAAGTGGCGATAAAAGCTTTTTTTTTTTTTTTTTTTTTTTTTTTTTTTTTTTTTTTTTTTGCTCAATTGACCCGTAAATGTGTAATTAAGTACTTTCAGAAGTAAGTTACATACAATGTGGAAGCAAACACACAGAGGCAAATTACCACCATGTTGTAATTCACCTTTATTCTGTCTACCTAATTGGTGTGAACCAAAGACTATAGAATACACATGACATGTCACTCGTATAGTTTTAAAATAGGGAAAAGTGTAACAGTCAATATGGCAAATGAAACCCCGCATACTAGTACAGGAGCCAAATGTTGAGCACGATATACTGACGTTCATCCGGGCAGAAACTCAAACCAGAAGTGTGCACTTTTACTTTGGTAGTCAACAAACATGGTGGGTTCTCAGCGAATACTTGCTTGACAGACATGAGAACTATATCCACTTAAAGCTCGAAATCTCTACTTTTAAATGACTCAACTATACTTGAAAACAACATTTTTTTGGTTTTATAATCTGTATGGAAAAAAACGTGAGGTGCAGTCCATCCTGTCAAACACACATCATGTGACAGCAACTACTGAAATGATCTTCAAAGAGTCGCTGTCATTCTGGAGGAGATTCTCCATCAAGACTGAGTTGTGAATTACTTCAGAAGAGCAGCGCGATCAGACAATCATTATCCAGAGGATGATCGTGTGTAGAACTGCCATAAATGAGGTTGGTGTCGTGATCTCGTTCCCTTTGAGTGCGCATACACATTAGCCCTGGCAACCTGAAAATATGCAGACTATTGTTTGATTCTGATGTTTATAAACTAAACTTATGAGACCGATGTTGGTTAGTTTTATTTGTGCTTCTAAATGTGAAATGTAATTGTAAGCTTGACAAACAGTTTTGGAGAATCGGATGTTTTCCCTTTCAGACAGAATGCCAGAGCATACTGCCCGAGAGGCGTTTCAAAGACAGACACTGAGTGAAATGACTTGCCTTGAAGGGACTTTTGTGTGAACCAAGTCAGATTGGCCAATCAGAAAAAAAGGAAAACAGTGTACACTGATGTCATGAGGCCAAAACTTTTGTTTTAGTGGTCACACCAACCGCAAAACTGTTTCCATAAAGATTATTTTCAGATAATGCAGCGTTTGTGTGGATGAAGGGCTAATCTGTGTAAATATTGTTTTTGCTCATTTAAAAATATCTGTGTTCATGTGGTTTGGGCCTTAAATAGTTGGGTTTTATCATTTGTTATCCAGTCAGATTATCTCCGCTTCTGGCAGGAACACTGTTAGCCTAGCTTAGCATAGACCATTTAATTGGATTAGACTCTTAGCATCTTTCATATAAATTACCAAAGAGTTTAGTTAATTTTCCTTTTTAAAGCTTGCCTCTTCTCTACTTACATTTTATCTTGTACAAAGACTGACGTATACAGTAGAATTGTATTTTATATATTATCAGAATGAGAGTAAAGTGCCTCGCCATTTGGGCCTAGAAATTGTCAACTTTTCATTTTTTGTACAAAATGAAGCTCACGATGAAAGAAACTTTTTTGAGCAAGATGCTAATGGTCTAGTCCGATTCAATGATATATGGTAAACATGGTATAATTGTTTAACTCTAGGGGAGCTGTAAAATGAGCCTATTTGCAAAAAAAAAAAAAAAAAAAGTATAGTGTTTCTTTAATGAATCAATGAGTCAATTAGTTTGCGGGATAATTTAAAATCTGTACTTGTGGTGTCTTCCTCTGTCGTTTTCTCTGTCCCCCCATGAGCCTCAGCATTCCGGTGTATGTGAGAGAGTTTCAGCGATGTTTGTTTAATTTGCTTAAGTGCAGCAGATGGTTTTCTCTCTGAAATCAAAGTCATTTGGCATGTTAGGAACAAATCAGAACTTTTTAAAATGATATCGAGCATTTCAAATAAAACTTTGATACACATTGGGCCAATTATTTTCATAAAGGCACAAAAGATGTTTTCACTTGTGTGAGATTTTAGTCAGATATCTGTATGTGCAGCCATACTGGCGATGATCGAATGTAAAAAAAGAAAAAAAAAAAGAAAAAAAAAGAAGCATAGATTGCATAGTTAATGTACTTAATACACCGTTCTGCATATATATGCTTTGTAAAAACCATGGAAAAAAATAAAAATGAATGAATAAATAACAAATAATTGTGGTTTTTATTCCACTGGATTGACTGCGATGGCTAAATTGACTGTTTGATTAGATTACACGAGCTGGAATCACTGGTCAGATGTGCCACAATAGCACACTGAGGACACCTGCTGGTTATAAGGCAAAAAAACAGATTGCTATTGTTTGCTGGTGTGAACACAAATATAATCATCATTATATTTACATTTAAATTTATCATCCCTAGTGTGAACGACTCTTTAGAAAGCTGTAAATGTGTAATATTTTGACATAATTCATTAGACTCTTCTGCCTGCATTGTTGTAACTTTTGGCAGTCTTTAGTACTGCAACTGATTGTATTCTAGTCTGACTGACTATTTCAGCCTAAAATATGACAATATTGAGTTTTTAATTGAGCGGTAATTAGAAAAATAGCCATGTTATTCATATTTAGTTTATTGGTATTGTTTATGTTCTGCTCTTAAATATGGCTGACTAATGACAGCTATTAAAAACACACTATATATGATATGTACCTTTAGGGTACAATATGGATAAATTGTGCTCTTGTATGTATCTCTAAGGTACTTAAATAGACCTTCTGAATAGCTAGTTATCACATTGACATCTTTTATACCTTTATTTATTTACACATGTTGGGTTTTCGTGTTTTATGAGGACTCTCTTTAGACTTAGTGTTTTAAAAATTCTAATATGAGCCCTTGTTTTCATGTGCGTACACGTCTGCAGAGGAATGTGTCTGTTTTTTTTTTTTTTTTTTTTTTATCTGAAATAGAAATAGAAACTTTTTGTTTACAGTCTTTAATTCCTACAGGAAAAGCCAGTTTGAAAGCTTCTGTTACACAACTGGGGATAAAAATTTTATGCATCAAGTTTTTTTATTTTTATTTTGCTACTGCAGATTATTATTATTTTTATTAATTTTTGCATCATTAAAACGTAATTAAGTGAATCCAGCCACTTAAATCACAGCAGAAATAAAAAAGACTCTTTCACAGCCAGATACTGTAGATGTGTATATAGAAATGGTTGGAAACACTCAGTTCTGTCTTACCTGCTGGATGAATGCCATCTTCTTTTGAAATTAGACGTTCTACAAGAAAACAGATGTGATATTTTATAGATACTATAAATTAAATACATTAAAATACAGCTTATTTATAGATTTTACTGTAAACATGTGTCAACATGCTTTTATCCCAACCTTAACTTATTGAACTAAGTGTATCATGGTCCAGCTTAATTCTTTAATTTTTGTTTCATTAAAGTTAAAATGACTCGTGTTAATTTGATAACTTTAATATTTAATGTAAACTTTAGTGTGTAAAGATGCAGATGTACTCACCTTTTTCACTCATCTTGCTTCTGCTTGGTTTATCGGAAATAACTAGTTTCTTATCATCATGCACACAGGCTTTGTGAAGCAGAAAAACAGTTTCGCTCAAGCTGGAATGATGACTTTATATGCTGTGTGTGTGGTGCGTGCGTGCGTGCGTGCGTGTGTGTGTGTGTGTGTGTACACAGATGGCTCAACCAATTAAAATTTTACATGAAGAAAAAAAATTTTTTCAACATGATATCTGCTGCTAAGGCATGATAACAGATGCTGTGTTAAATGAGATGTTATGACTATTTCCATATTATTTCCACTAATTTATGGTGACAATAAAACTATTTCTTGCAGGAAAGTGCATAAATTGTTTAGTTTCATTTTCACTTCATTAAAAATGCAAAGATTATTCTCAAACAGACACAATATACTGGGTGATAATATAGTAGTGCTGCATTATTTTTTGAGGAATAACCAGCCTGATCTCACGAGAAAACGTAAGTATTTTACGTTTTGCCAGTTTAGTGGCTAATTCGTATGAATTCGTACGAGTTCAGTCGTACGAAATGGTACGATTTTAAAAAGGAGGCGTGGCACCTGACCCAACCCCTAACCCCAACCGTCATTGGGGGATAAGCAAATCGTACTAAATTGTATGAATTAGATCGTACGAATTCATACGAATTAGCCACTAAATGAAAAAGTTACGAATTGCTGTGAGATTGTGTTGGAATAACTGAATGAATGATGATAATAATGATGGTAATAGTAAATTAATGATGATTGCAACTTTGCAATTGTTTTTTGATACAGTAGTTTTTTTTTTTTTTTTTTCAAAATCTGTATAGTTTTCCCTTCGCTGAAGAAGGGATAATGTACATCCAGACGGTGGTTATCTCAAAATATCAGCTGTTTTATAATACTGAAGGGTTTATTCAATGCATCTTTATTTCTATAGTTATTCTACAATGTAGAGTGTTAAAGCAGCTTAACATAAAAGTTCTAATGAATGTCCTTTCAGTTTTTTAGAGTTCAGTTCAGTGTGGTTCACTGCTTAGAGTCCAAACACTGAAGAGCAAATCCATCGATGCGCAGCTCTACAAGTCCCAAACCAAGCAAGCCAGTGGTGACAGCGGCGAGGAACAAACTTCACCAATTGACCAAAGTGAAGGGGAAAAAACCCCAGAGAGAAACCAGGCTCAGTTTATTATTTATTTATTGTTTTTTTATTCTGATAGCAATCGGCGGGATGTACTTTATCCTGATTATTACATGGCTGCTGGCCGCAAAATCAGACTTTTAGACACTAGATATTGATTAATTGACTTGCAATATGGCACCAAACAATCATATATGTGAAGACATAAGTAAAATCAGGTCTAGTTATAATAAAATTTAATTATACAATGAATAAATGTGAAATTTTCAGCTTCCTGTTTTGTTATTGTTGGTTTTTTTTTCATTCTTATCAACATGCACGAACACGCCAGGAGACAGATGCAAGATTTTTTTTTATCTGTTATAAATCTAAAAAAGGCAAGCCAACCAGTGCAGTCTATTCTCTTTACATATTTAGATAAAACTTGTATTGCTGTTTTCCTTTTATCAGCGTTGTTGTGCATTAAAAAAGATAGATTTTTCTGTGACAGTGAATAATGTCAGTGCTGGGCTGGCAGAAGGAAAAGCTTTATTTATAGAGCACTAGTTTAACAACCATAGTTGATCCAAAGTGCTTTAAAATAAAAAAGAGAGAAATTAAAATTAAAAAGGAGGAATAATAAAAAAAAAATAAAGCACAGAAAGGCACAGTTATTTTAGAGGAACAGGTCTTATTTTGAAGCAAAGTCATTGTGTGGTGTGTTTGTCTGCTGTTTTGACTTGAACAGAGACTTCATGCAGGTCTAGACAAGACTGCTCAAATCTTTCTGCTCTGCAAAACAAACGCAGTGCTTTAAATGTGGTTTACTTCCTTCTGAAAGAAAAAAACAAGAATAAGGAATGCATTATTCTTTCTCTTTTATCATGCTCTCTCACTGGTCCTTTCACACCTTTTATAAAGACTTTTTTCAGCAAAAACTTTACATTTTTTACTTTTACTTTAAAGTAAATACAGAATTAATTGGTAATTTCTATACAAATTTGGGTGCAGTGGCAAAGCAAACTTGGGTTATATTTGTAGTAGTAGTAGTAGTAGTTGTAATAATAATAATAATAATAATAATAATAATAATACAAATAAATCAGCAGACAGGTTTGTTCATAAATTACCTACAGTATATACAGGTTGAAATACCTATTAGTATGTTTGTATATTTTATGTTAAAGTATAGAATAATCTTTAGGAGTTTTCTCATGATCAGATGTCATGGATCTTGACTATTGCTGAACATTTACAGTAAATCAAGCAAAAAGAAGTACATTTCTACTTGTGCTGGGTTATACAAATGCTGGGTTATGTCAACCTTAGTTTGAGTTGAGTATAAGTAAACTAACCATTTGGTTAAAATTAGGCTGTATACTGAAATTGGATTATACACAACTTGGTTTGAGGCGGTTCATTCTGCTGTGATGACCCCAAATTAATAAAGGGACAAAGCGATCAGGAAAATGAATGAATGAACTTGGTTTGAAATAACCCAGCCTTTTTTAGTGTAACCAAGTAATTTTTAACTTCTAAAGCTGCATCACAAAAGAACCCACATGCGCTAATAATAGTATTATTTAAACAGCAGCTATGGAAATGAAGTGTATGCTGAATTATTAATACACAGTCACTCTAAGTTTCTGACCTGATTTAACCTCAGAGAGTTTTGGGTGGTGTTTTTAATCTAACTGTTGAACTGGAAATTCAGCATTAGTTGAATGCAATTTGGACTCTTGGCTGAGTTTCACTTTACTTGAACTTTTATTGACTTCATCTCCTGTTTCATCTGGAACTTCTGTTTGTGTGATTTATTTACAGTATTTATTTATTTTTCTGGTTAAAGCAGACAACAAGTGCTGTTAAGAGCATGTCAAATCAAGACGAACTGATGAGAATGAAGTGTGTGATTGTCTGAAGTCCGTGTGTGGGAAAAACACAACTTCTGATAAGTTATAGTTTATGCCTTTCTATCAGCTGGAACCAGTCTGGCCATTCTCCTCTGACCTCTGGCCTCATCAACAAGGCATTTGCGCCCACAGAACTGCCCCTCACTGGATATTTCCTCTTTGTCGGAGCATTCTCTGTAAACCCTAGAGATGGTTGTGCGTGAAAATCCCAGTAGATCAGCAGTTTCTGAAATACTCAGACCAGCCCATCTGACACCAACAACCATGCCATGTTCAAAGTCTCTTAAATCCTCTTTCTTATCTATGCTGATGCTCGCTTTGAACTGCAGCAGTTGCATTGAGTTGCTGCCAGGTGATTGGCTGATTAGAAATGTCCATTAGCGAGCAGTTGGACAGATGTACCTAATAAAGTGGCCTTGCTGTGAGGTGATCATTCTATCAACTGTGCCACTATGTTGTATCTGATTATGGCATGGTGTCCAGGAGAAAACCCTGAGCTTGAAAATACTTTGTATTTCACCACCTGGTCGTTTAGCATCAGGGCCGGAGTGGGACTCATTTTCAGCCCTGGAGTTTCAAGCCAGACCGGCCCACCTCAGTTCACGACTGATTCCAATTCAGTTACTAATGGCACTATCACGTCTTTTTCAAGAAAACTGCTGCTTTAGAAATTCAAATGTTCAACAGCCCTAACAGTATTTTATGTCTTAACAATAAAATCGAAAAAAAAAAAAAAAAAGATTTTTCATGGGAGATTCGATCACAGGTCTATACCATTGAAATGTAATGTGCTTACCACTGGACCACATTGACGCTATTACAGTGAGAGTAAAAAATAATTAATGAGTTGCGACCCTTAGGACACAGCACTACTTTCTTTTGATGGCTCAATCTTTTTCTCCTATTTTTAGATTTCTGATCAAGTTATGTCAGATTTATTAATGTAGTGAATCATTTGATTTTCATTGAGCAGGTGTTTTATTCATTTTATTCGAATTCTTATATTCACTAAGGTGCCGCTGTTTGGGGCGATAGTTGCATTACATCATCATCATTAACGTTAGTTAACCTGCAGGCTGCATTTTTCTCACGGGGCTGCGAGAAAATAAATAATAAGAGCGGCACTACGGTAAAATAATGATTAAAAAGAGTAAAGCTATGGTCAAAAAAAATAAATAGAAGAAAAAAGTGTGACTGCTGAGAGTGCAAGCAGCTAGGGACACCGGCCCTCGCGGCCAAAAAACAGACCGGCCCACCGGGAATTCTCCCGGTCCTCCCGATTAGCCAATCCGGGCCAGTTTAGCATAGAAGGGGTTCCAAGATAGGTCTTCAGAGCTCCCAGGGGTATAGGAGAAAAGGGGTGGATGGGGGATTCTTCAAAAATGAAGATAAGGGAAGTAAGAAAACGGGCTTGAATTCCTTTAGTTGGTTTATCGAGGACTGTTGATGTGATACCAGCCGTGTTCAATCATAGCATGTGGTCCTCTAATTTACTTTGTAAAGCTTCGCATAGGTTTAGTATGTGGTATAAGTATGTGAATGTGGATGCAGCAAAGGTGAATATGACCTCAGTGATGAGATAAATGCTCAGTTAACAGTCGTCCTCTAGTGGAATATTTAAACAATGCAGTTGTGGTGAAATTGAGTGTGAGTTAGTCTTTATATAGTGCAGATTCAGTGTTTGTCCAGTAGGTGTCGTTGTGTAAGTGAGCAAAGTCTGAAGGATGAGGAAGTCCCTAAAGCAGACTGATGTAGAGACAGAGATACACACACACATCATTCAGCATCAACAACACACTCAACTCAAGTCACAATGAAGATCCTCCTCATCTTTATCTTGACTTTACAGCTGATCTCAGGTCAGAACTCTTCTCTTTCAGCCACTGGATACTCTGGAGGAAGCCTGATGCTGGACTCTGGGAAACTCTGGATCAGTGACTCTGCTAAATATCTGGCCAAATTACCAAACTGGAGGACAATAATCAATGAAACTAAACATGAGAGATGGATTAATGAAGGAAGATTCACTCTGTTCCGAAACAATAATGGAAACCTCATGATCTTCATCAGAGATCTGCACACAGATGATGCTGGAGAATACTGGCTCGGTGCTCTTTATAATTGGGGTGCAGATCTGACGTTACATGTGGAAGAAGGTCAGTGATCTAATAATATACAAACATTTCTGAATAGAAAATTAATGATGATTTTAAAGCCTTAATTAAAGTCATTTTGTTATATACAGACTCATGTTGTGCGTCAAAAAGAGTGATCATGACTGTCGGAGAAACTGGCAGCTTCAGCTGTGATTATTCTCATAATCATATTAATGATCCCAAGATCATATTCAAAGAGGAACAGCACTCCATTAAGATGATTTACAGCACACTGAATAAGAAAGACAGATTCAATATATCTGATGACGGACTGAGAAACTCATTCAGTGTGAGCATTACTGCCGTGACAGCAGATGATGGAGGAGTTTACTTATGTGGAGTTTGGGTCAACAAACACTCGTACAGTTACTACATTATTAATACTGTACATCTGCAGATTATGAGTGAGTACAATAAACATTGTGTGTGATTACTTCTGTGAGGAACCTGAGAAGTTGCATTATGTACCGTTTCCTTGTTCTTCATCTGCAGTGTCTCCAGTAGTGAGACGTGAAGGAGAATCTGCTCAGATCTTCTGCCCTTATGATTCAATCTATCAATCAAAGTCAAAGTCTCTCTGTAAGGGGAAGTGCTCCACTAGAGACACACGTCCTCTGGATGAGACTGTGAGAGAAGAGAAAGAGAGACTGACTCTGCATGAAGACGTCACAGCAAGCGTCTTCACCGGGACCATCACTGGACTGACAGCAGAGGATGCTGGGAAATACTGGTGCGCAGTGACATTAGACAGAGAGCTGAATTATCTTTACACTCATCTGATGGTCATCATCAAGCAGGGTGAGGAAGCTTCACACGTCTGAATGTGGAAAACTAGGCCTGTCCACTGATGTTCTTGTGTTTCTGCTCATTTCCAGAGCTGAGCTTGACTAAGTATGAAGGAGACGACGTGTCCATCCAGTGCAGACATCATGATGGAGATCAGAAAAGCTTCTGCAGAGCACATGAAGCCTCCGCGTGTGTGAAGGATGGAGATTCACTGGAGACCATCAGAGATGCTCGATTCTCTATCAGTGATGAAGCGTCTGCTGGAGTCTTTACTGTCAACATCACTGATCTGAGAGCAGACGACTCTGGGGTGTACTGGTGTGGAGCTCATGCTGTTACTAAAGTGCATCTAAACATCAAACAAGGTAAAATATCCTCATTTAGTTTATTTGGTTTAGCCTCGGTGCTAAGCACTCTGCCAACTTAACCTGAAAGTTTTTGCTAAATCTTTATATTGGATAGAAGAAAAGCTGAAAACAAATCTGGAAAAGTGTTCAAGTGATCTGTTGGTTTGTCTTTAAGTCTGTGTTTGTGTGTGTTCTTTCAGACTTTTCCATAATCATCATCATCATCATTATTATTGTGTGTGTGATTGTGCTGCTGATCAGTGGATTCACTCTAACTAAACGTAAATCAAGAGGCAAGAGACGAAGTGATGCTCCATTAAGGTCAATCTACTGCACAGTTACCCACAATCCCCTCTGATACACACTCAATACTGCAGCTACCGCACCAGAAACAGAACAATTCCTTCATTTTGAACAAATCTTTAATGTGACTCAAGAGCAATGAGTCTTCTCTGTAGTTTGTGATTTGTTCATTCCCTCGTGTGCACATTTGTGAAAGTGGAGAACATCATAACTTTTCAATCCAGATGGACGGGGCAACCATTACTGCATCAATAATGGTGAAAAGCCTTGGAGTAACGATTGATGACCAACTAAACTTCTCTGACCACATCTCTAGAACTGCTCGATCTTGCAGATTCACACTCTACAACATCAGAAAGATCCGACTCTTCCTATCTGAACATGCAGCTCAACTCCTTGTTCAAGCTCTTGTTCTCTCCAGACTGGACTATTGCAACTCTTTACTAGCCGGGCTTCAGTTAACTCTATCAAGCCTCTTCAGCTGCTTCAGAACGCAGCAGCACGAGTGGTCTTTAATGAACCTAAAAGAGCACATGTCACTCCGCTGCTCATCCGTTTGCACTGGCTGCCAGTTGCTGCTCGCATCAAATTCAAAGCTCTGATGTTTGCATAAAAAGCGACTTCTGGCTTTGCTTCTTATCTGCTCTCACTTCTGCAGATGTATGTGCCCTCCAGAAACTTGCGTTCTGTGAATATATATATATATATATATGTATATGTATGTATGTATATGTATGTATGTATGTATATATATATATATATATATATATATATATATATATATATATATATATATATATATATATATATATATATATATATATATATATATATATATACACATACAAAAAATGACAGTCTCATCACACAAACACCACTGGTAAATAAAACAAAAATACAATCTCATTTTAAACAATGACTAAATAGTCTGATTAGTGGAATCTTCAAAATAGCTCAGAGGTTGATGCAAGCAAAAATAAACATTTATGCATTATTTGCAGGAATCAGATCTTACACTCTTGTTATCTGTGTGTATATACAAAACTGTTGTGTAATTATATATATGTATTTATATATATATATATATATATATATATATATATATATATATATATATATAATTTTTCTGTCACCCGAGGGTCACAGTTTACTTTGACTATGAAGGTAAATTAGACATGTTCAGGAAACCCACACTGAGACCACATCAGACCCAGCAGACAGAAAGCAGATCTGCTCATAGGAAATATATACGTGTAGCAGTTTCCTCTCAAGAAAATGAAATTAACCCCAAATTGAGTCCCTCTCATTCATTCATTTTGTTTTACAGATATGCTGGTATTTTGAAAATGCTATAAGTCTTGTACTTTCTGTAGTTTAAAGATTTTTTTGTGAATGTGTCAGTGTTTTGTGTTTGCAGGGTATGTTTGACAGTGTCCTGTGTGATAAAGATCAACAGCATGAGTTGCTCTTCAACTTGTGGTTTGCTTTTGCCCCATGTGTGTTCATTTCTTCCACCTATGCTTAAAAACAGGAAACAGTTTTTTTGGTCACTCAGACTTTCAACTTTAAGATCAACTGTGATGTATTTAATATCTTATCTTTTATTACAAAAGATCCAAGATCATCTGAAGTATTTATTAGAAAGAAGCAAGTATGATTTCGGTAACAGCTTACTTTTAAAACCTTCAACGTTCTGCCATTCTCAAGTCACCAACATGATTCAACTGAACTTCCTTCTTTGACCATATTTGGGTAACAGATTCCGGGGGAACACACTTCAGACTGAAGCCTGAAGCTCCACCTAGTGGCAGATATAAGCAAGTACAGATGCCTTATTAGTTTTACTAGAGATTGTTTGTGTATTTGTATTTTATGGTCGTTATTGAAGTGATAATCTCATGCTTAATTCTGTTTAAATTGTTTGTCACACTAGAGTACACAACTCCTTATATCTTTAAAGAGCCCCTATTTTGCATTAAAAACTCATAATTTAGTTTTAGGGGTCTCCAACAACATGCTGATCTGTGTGCAAGGTCAAAAACACTTTCATTGTCTGCATTTGCATTTATTTAACCTGATTATCCCAGCAACTCCCATATGAATCGTTCAGTGATTCATTTGTTCCCGAACCCCTCCTTAGCATGAAGCTGATCTGCGCTGATTAGACCGATGACAGTCTGTTGTGATTGGTCTGGTGTGATTGGTCACCACGGCTACAGTATGAAGTAGCAGAAAGTATGTGAAAGCCCAATGCAGGAATGCCTTAACCCTTGCAGTTAAAGGCCAGCATATACTCTACTCTTAACCTTAACCCCAACTAATAACTGTGACACACAATCAATATTAATACACACAGCGGCAAAAGCTGAACAATTTTGAAAACTGACCGCGCCACATGTGTGAGGAACTGCTGATAGTGGTCATAGCCAAGGCAAACAGCAGAGTTCAGAAACACAGGTAAATCAGTAAAGGAAGAAGCATGCATCACATTTTCAACGTGGTTTTGGACGTGATATGTGAACAGCCCCATACAGACTTACCTTGAGAGATACAGTACAAGCACTGATCTATACTCTATACATGATTACAAGCCGCACGGGGTGATTACAACTTATAACACACAATTAAACACAGATTTAGCGGACTACACAAATTGAGACAACAATTTTAATGACATTTAGATGTTCTGATCCGGAGGAAGAAGAAACTGGCCCATATGAACTGTAAAAGTAACTGACAAAGTTCGTCAAAGTCTGACAAAGTCCCATACATAATAGTCTCTGCTGCTACTTCAATAGCAAACAGCCACCGAATCCCACGATGCAGCTGAATCTCCATCTGTCAGTGATCCCCTACGCCTCTGCTAGTGTCTGAAGAGCATTCACATTTTACTTGTACTGGAAGTACATATTTGGTACTGTACTGTTTCGACATCGATCAAGCAAAAGATCTGAACCCAACTCAATTCATTAATTTGCATCTGAGTCAACTATTTTGCTAAAGAATCAATAGTTTTAAACATGCTGCACTTACAGATTTAAACCTCAGCTGGATGTTTTTATGCACTTAGAGCTGTGTTACACACTGCATGTAGATCATTTTCAAGAACCCATAATATGGGGCTCTTATAATAACGATAGAGTAATTCCAGAGGAATGGACATTTCATTTCACATTTGATAACAGCAGGGACCATTTTAATAAAACCAGCATTTTCATATCGATGTTCTTTTAAGAATAATAAAAGGATGATGATCTAAAGTCTCCACATTTCCCTTTTTGTGTTTGTACAGTTCATCAGTGGTGTTTAAGTCTGATCTGTGGCTGCTGACCATGGTGCTGATTCTACAACTCTCAGGCTTGAAATCTCATTAATTCAGGTGTGAAAGAAACATGCACATGCTCAGATTAACAAACATTTGGATTCTTTAAACATCAGATTTAATATATATATATATATATATATATATATATATATATATATATATATATATATATATATATATATATATATATATATATATTATAATATATATAAAACGTTTGTTGCAAGAAGGTCACTGGTTTGAGTCCTGGTTGGACCAGTTGGCATTTCCTTGTGGAGTTTGCATATTCTCCCTGTGTTGGCGTGGGTTTCCTTCGGGTGCTCCGGTTTCCCCCACAGTCCAAACACATGCACTACAAGGGAGTTCATGAACTAAATTGGCCGTAGTGTATGAGTGTGTGTAAATGCGAGTGTGTATGGGTGTTTCCCTGTACTGGATTGCAGATGGAAGGGCATCCGATGTGTAAAACATATGCTGGAAAAGTTGGCGGTTCATTCGGCTGTGGTGACCCTTGATAAATAAGGGACAAAGTCAAAGGAAAATGAATGAATGAAGTTTGTCCTCTAGGTGTCGCCCATGATCAGTCAGTGTTTGTCCTTTAGGTGTCGCTGTGTGTGTTAGTAAAGCCAGTAAAGCTGCTCATTACTGAAAAAGAACTGGAGAAAGAGGAAGTCATTAAAGCAGACTGATGTAGAGACAGAGAGATCCACACACAAACATCATTCAGCATCAACAACATACTCAACTCAAGTCACAATGAAGATCATCCTCCGTATCTTCTTGACTTTACATCTGATCTCAGGTCAGAGCTTTTCTCTTTCAGTCACTGCAATAGGTCTAGGGATTAAGATGATTTGTGACCAGTTATAAAGCGGATTTATACCTGAGAAATAACCCCTTCGTTGGTGTATATGGTATTTTGGGATTAGTCAGTATTTAGTCAAGATGCAACTAATGGAATGTCTAAAATTTGAGGGTTAAAAACAGCTAAAAAAAAATACTAACAAAAATGTCTTTAATGTTGACCAAAATTCATTCTAAAATTGCATGTTGCTAACCAAAATCTGCTTTTGGATAGATTTATGAAAATAAATGTATACAATTTCTGCATGGAACATAATCTCTACTCTTATAGCGCTGGAATTTTAGAATTTTAACCTGATGCCGTCTGGAGGCACCGCTCCAAAAATTTGGAATTGTCTCCCAAATGAAGTGAAAGAATCCCCCAGCATAAGTGTTTTTAATTAGCGTTTTAAGACCCACCTTTTTAAAATGCATATGAATGTAACAGTTTGTGAAGTGTGTGCATTTTATCTATATTGTGCAGGTGTATTTATGTGTGTGTGTGTGTGTGTGTGTGCGTGCGTGCGTGCGTGCGTGCGTGCGTGCGTGTGTGTGTGTATATATATATATATATATATATATATATATATATATATATATATATATATATATATATATATATATATAAATATATGTAATTACTATTGTGTGTGTGATTGTGTAGATGTATGCATAAATGCGTGTACATTTTTTTAATTTGGTTTACTTTACAATGCTTGTTTGTTGTTTGTGAAGCACTTTGAGTTGCATGTATGTAGGAAAAGTGCCATACAAATAAAATGTATTATTATGATTATTACTATTATTATTACTTAATGTTACATTTTTTGGTATAATAGAAAAATGGATTATTTTGACACATACTGGACAACCTATATGCCTATATCCCAAAAATGTTTACTATGCAACTTAAGACAGTAATGATCCAGGGTCGCATGTTATCATATATTGAAAATGTCAACATTATTGGGGGTTTGATATAGTTTGCAAGTAAATGAATGTAGATTATACTTAACTGTATATTAAAATGCCCACACTGTAAAAAAACGAATTTTACAAAAAATATCTCTAATTTTTTACAGTATTTTTTTGTCATTTTAAATTATAG